GCGCCCATGTGCGCGGCGCCGGGCCCGGCTCGCCCAGCGGCGGCACCGCGTGTGCGGGAGGGGCGGTGCAGCGGGGCGGCCCCGCAGCCCCCACAGCCCCACACAGCCCCACAGCCCCCCACACAGCCCCGCACAGCCCCGCACCGGCCGCTCCGGCAGGTGCCGGGCCGCCCCCGCCCGCCCGAGCGGGGCGCGGAGCATCCCCGGGGCGCGGAGCATCCCCGCGCCGCATGCGGGTGGGATGCGGGGAGCACAAGCCGGAGCCCCCCCGCCGCTCCTTGTTGGGTGTGTTCGTCCCCTCCGAGCGCATGATGCGGCACCCAGATAGGAATATGCCCCTTACTTGTGTTTTTCGGGACTAAACGTCTCCTTCAGTTGCATTTCTAGGGAAAAACGTCGCTCTTGGTTGTGTTTTTAGGAGAAGCTACTTCCTTTAGTTGTATCTTTAGGGAAAGCCTCCTTTCCTTTAGGGAAAATCTCGTTTTGTTGCAATTTTAGGGGTAAACATCCTCCATCCTCCTTGGTTGCATTTTTAGGGCAAACATTTTCCTTGCTTGAATTTTTAGGGGGAACCATCTCTAGTGGTTGTATTTTTAGAGGAAAACATCTCCCTTAGTTGCCTTTTTTTTTTTTTTTTTAGGGAAAACCCATCTCTTAGTTGTATCTTTATGGAATACATTTACTTTAGTTTCATTCCTAAGGAAAAACATCTCAGTTAAATTTTTAGGGGGAGCTGTCTCTGTCAGTTGCATTTTTGGGGGAAATGTTTCCCTTGGCTGTGTTGATTTTTGGGAAATCATCTCCTTTAGCTGGACTTTTAGGGAAAAACATGCTCTTTTGTTGCATTTTTAGGGAAAAACAACTCAGTTGCATTTTTTTAGGGAAAAACATGTCCCTTGGTTGAATTAGAAGGGGAAAACATTTCCATTGGTTGGATTTCTAGGGAAAACCAACTCCTTTGTTGGATTTTTAAGGAAAAACGTGTCCTTTATGTAGGAAGGTTAAAAAGTAGGGATTTGTGAGTCAAGCAAAGCAGGAGAGACCAACTCACCACTTAGAGGGATGGGGAGGGAGGGAGCAGGGTTTCAGTCATCCTAAAATCACAGAACATCCTGAGCTGGAAGGGACCCACAGGAATCATTGAGTCCAACCCCTGGCCCTGCACAGACACCCCAAAAATCCCCCACTGTCCTTGGGAGCATTGTGCAAACCCTCTTGGAGCTCTGGCAGCCTCAGCTCGCTGCTGCTGCTGCATCCTGCTCCTGCTCTCCATGTGCTGGGAACAGAAGGATGCTGCCAGGAGGATTTGGAGTCTTGCACCGTCCCTTGTGACTTGTGGGCCACTGAGTTCTGCCTGCAGGGAACAGCAGAGGGGTCAGAGTGGGTGGGTGACCTCACCTCTCCTCGCCTGCCCTCCTGGGATCTGCCTCTGGGCTGGCCCAGGAGCCCACCACAGTGTGCTGGGATAAAACAGAACCTGCTGATCCTGGTTCATACCCCTGGAAAAAGCAGCCAGGTTAAAATGTCCCTGCACTGCAAGAGCTGCTCTGTTTGGTTTGGCCAGAGTTCCTTCTGCTGCTTTTCCTCTCCTTTGTCACAATGGAATTGCTGGTGGGACAGCACAGCCAAGGGCAGCAGGCAGTTGGGGCAAAATTCTCCAGGTTGCCCAAAATGAGGCAAATTGTTCCTTTTGCTCGGGAACTTTGGGAAAGCTGCTGCTGGTTTCAATGCTGGCCTGCCAGCTGCTGCCTCCAACAAGTGCTGGTGCTCTCAGGGAGGTTTCAGCAGCTCTGCTCCTCACAGTTCCCTCCTGAACGAGCTGAAATCCTTCTGAAATCCATCAGAAATCCATCAGAAATCTGAGTACTCAGCCATGGCAGTGCGCCCTGTGTGTCCTTCAGAGCCTCCTATCTCCCTGTCCCACAGCAAAACCCCTTCTCTGAGGGAGCCTTTGAGGTGGGGGGTCCTTTACCCATGCCCTGCCTTTTAGGGGTACAGATGAAGGGTGGCCACCCTTTGTCTGTCCCCGCAGAGCCAATATCCCATTATACAAACTTTTCCTTGGGAAAAGTTCCTTCCTCCCCGTGCTGAAATTCTTCCCGGTAGTGGTAGCGACAGTGCAAGTGGTTGTGGGACAACAAAAGAGGTTTGTGCCTCCAGGGGAGAAATAAGAATGCAAATATCTTTGGCATGAAAAACCCAAGGCGATTTGCTCCTTGGTATTTCTTGTCAGCACTTTGCATCTGTCCCTGCCTCACCTTCCCATTCCTTTCCTTTGGGCTTTCCAAGAGCAATAAGGGGAGCCAAGGGGGCTGCAGGGCACAGGGATGGTGGCTGCAGCCTCTCCAGCCCCACTGTAAAACCCTTTTCCCCCCATACTGTTTGCCCACTTTGGGGGAATTTCCCTGCTGCTTGGCTTGGCTGTGCCTCACTGGGATGCTTTTCCCTGGCACATCCCTCATGGGTCTTGCCTCTCCATCATCCCGGGAGCTCCAGCAGCCCGGGAGCAAGGCTGGTGTTTAAGGGCTCTGTAATCCTCAGGGAAGAAAGCAAACCTCCTGTCTGTGGGCATAAATCAGCCAGGAGCTGGCAAACAGGGCGGGCTGGGAACAGCAGAGCAGCGCGGGCCCCTGGACGGCTCAGGGACTTCCAGTTCATTTATTCTGCTGGGCTTTGCCCAGCCCTGCTCGGCATGTGAAATGTTTTCTCTGAAAGACCCAGCAGTGAGATGGGTGAAAAACATTCTCCTGTCCCAGGAGCTGGCAGAAATCCTGGTAAATCTGCAGAAGTATGTTTTTGTCGGTGCTGCTTGTTCTGTGAGGGGAACTAGTATAAACTATGCCAGTAGAAAACCTTTTTCCTGGAATGAAGTCCTGACTGTGCTCAGAGCATTGTCAGGACGGTTTGCTGGGAATGGAGCTTTGCTGGTAAACATGTCAGCACTGGGGAGGCCCAAGGGGGCAGACACAGAGCTCCTGCCCCTCTGCCCCATGGGCAGACCCCTCACCAGGCACCTGCTGCCCTTTTCTGCTCAAATCCAAATCTCTGCATCCTTAAACTGCAAAAAAACCATAGATTTCTTTTTCTGCCCCCTGAAGGCGTGTCTGCCCTGCCATCCATCCCCTCCAGGCTGTGGCTGGCCATCCCCCAATGGGGTCAGCACCAAGAGCCTCACCATGGGGATATGTCCCCATCCCACGTCACTCAGCAGCTGTGGGGCCAGCACAGCTGTGTGCCTGCCTCAGTTTCCCTGACCCCAGCTGGCACACGGGCTCTTGGATAACAGCAGGTACCCAGTCCAGTTTGAATTTTTCATTCTTTGCTGTGTCCTTTTCTCCCTGCTCCTCGTGGCCAGGATGGGGATCCTGCTGGGACCTTCAGCGGGGCTGCTGGGTGGGTTTGGGCTGGAGATCAGAGCTGGGACCCCCGGGTGGGCTGTGAGCCCCAGGAGCTGGCAGGGGGAAGCTCAGCACAGCTGGGTGTGCTTCAAAGTGTGGCAGGTTTTTCTGGGCTCCAGCCACTGCTTTGCTCTCCAGGCAGGCGTGAAAATGTGAAAGAATGTGAAAAATGTGAAAATGATCATGCTGGCCCCAAGATTTGTAAACTTTCTGGTTAATGTGTAATAAATACATGACAGATACCGCCAGCACAGTGCGGGTGACCCCTCTGTGGTGGCACTGCCAGCGGTGACATCCCAGAGAGACATCAGGGCCTGCCCTGGGGAGTCCTGCTTGGAGAGGCTTTGGAGCTTTTCTGAACTGGTTTATCTGGTTTGGACTCCTGTGAGCGCCTGCCTGGCTTGCAGAAGGCAGGTTATTGATTTCTCCAGGGCTGCCCTGGTCCAAGGTGCATGTCCAGCTGAGCAGCACGCTGCCAGCACTGCTCATCCCGAGGCCTGGGATGCTGGCAGGGATTCCTCCCAGGTGCTCACCCAGCTGGAGCCACCCTGAAGTATTTCCTGCTTGGCACAGGGCGAGGTGCCGCAGTGTTCTGCCACAGGCAGCCTGGGCAATCTCCCCTGAGTCATTCTGAGTTTTGCAAAAAGAGCTCAAAGTTGGTGGGTCGGCTCTGGGTGGGTCTGGCTGCAGCAAAGCTGGAGGGCAGCAGAGGTGCTGCAGTCCTGGGGATGCCAGGGGGCTCCCACCTCCTCCAGGGGGATGTGCACAGCCTGGACTCGCTGGGAATTGGAGCTGAAAAGGGTCAGAGAGGGCTCAGAGTGCAGAGGAGTTGATGCCAAGGGATGGCCTCACCCTCATGGATGTGGTCTGGATGTGGACATTCCAGGGGCTGTGTTCCACCTCGCCTTCAAAAGGCTTCTGAACATCAGGGATCAAGAAGTTTTGTCTGATGCTAATGCATGAATTTGAGCCCTGGAAGACTTTCCCTGTAATTTAGGGAGGAGAGAGTGTCCTTTGAAAATGGTTTGGATTGTTTTTGTTAGCTGTGTCATCCTGGCGTAAATGGAAGGGACAGAGGTTTGTGGGTTCGGCTGCTTTGAGGTGTGCTGGGTGTTTCTGTGAGGCTGCAGGTGCAGCTGGGGGGTCCCTGGGGCACTGTGGGGTGCAGGGCAGCCCCTCAGGAGCAGGACTGGGGCTGGGAGGATGTTTGGAGAGGCCAGCTCAGCCTGGGAGGGGCTGGCAGCTGCTGGATGCCAGCAGAGGTGCCAGAGGGCAGGATTAGGTGGTGTGTCTTCCAGAAAGCCTCAACACCCTCTGCCTGAGGAGATCAGCTCAACTTTTGGTGCTTTGTTTTCCCCCAAACCCCAGGTCTAGCACAGGGTGATATCCTGCTGCATTGTGGAGAGTCCCAGACAGGGGACTGGGAAGGGACTGGGATGGGGCTGGGAAGGGACTGGGATGGGGCTGGGATGGGACTGGGAAGGGACTGGGATGGGGCTGGGATGGGGCTGGGATGGGGCTGGAATGGGGATAGGAAGGGGCTGGGATGGGACTGGGATGGGGCTGGGATGGGGATAGGAAGGGGCTGGGATGGGGCTGGGATGGGCTGAGGTCTCCCCGACCACTGTGAAGTTGGTGGCTCAATTCTGTGCTGTCCTTGGCCCAGCTGGGCTCAGCCCCTGCACAAGGGGTGTTGGACCCAAGCAGAGCTGCTCCTTTCAAGTCCCCATCCGTGAAGAAATCCAAGGAAATTGCAAAGGCATTTTTGTTTTGAAAGTTAAGGCAATTTAGCTGCCATCAACCATCCAGAGACCTAATGTGGGTTGTTGGAGCTGTGGGGATGCAGGAGGGTGAAGAACAGGACCTGAGCCCGTGGACTTTGCTGGGGCAGGGCTGAGGAACCTCTCCCACAGCTGAGCCCCCTCCCATGGCTCAGCCCCACCACCCACCACATCCCACCCCCATTAGCTGATGCACTGAGAGCCTCCAGGCTTCATAAATTAACACTCTGGGCTATGAATTATGAATGGAGCCACATCTCTGATCACTGCATTGCTCTGCTGACAGCCCAGGAGCTGCTGATCCAAGTGACAGCCCAAAGCTTTTAAAGATGTGAACAGCAAAACCTGGCAATAATTTACTTTGCAAGCTGCAAACCTCTTGGCCTACAGATGGGGCTCATCGTATTCCCTCTCCTGCCTCCTCCTGTCCTGTTCTTCCCTTTTGTTTCCCAGTGTTGTCTTCTCTGCTCTCCCTCTCTGTGTTAGTGGGTGCTGTCCTGCTTGGCTGTGTTGACCATCCCGTGGAGCTGCATCCCTCATTCCTGCCCCAAGGTTGCTGGTGCCTACTGGGGCCAGCTGGGTCCTGGCCACCCCCAGCCCAGGCACAGATCCCCACAGCCAGTGCAGAGCTCCTGGTGCAGGACCCAGCAGGATTTTGGCAAATCTCTGCAGCTTCATCCCCCTTTGGCCATGACTTTGTGTTCAAGACATCGTATTCCACAGCTCCATCTGCTCCATGGAGCTCTGCCACAGCTCCGTCTCTGCCATCGGTCTTCGGAGGGTTTGTCCTTGAACCTTTCCATCTCTGGAGGCCAAACCCTGCCCTAAGCAGCTGGATGTGCTTAATGCTCACTATTCCTGGGGGTTTTTGCTTCTGTATGGATTCCTGCCTCCTCACCTCTGGGGCAGCTCCCTGGGGCAGCCGGGCTGTGCTCCCTGCTCTGGCAGCGGTGGGCCAGAGGGAGCAGGACTAAATTTCGACAACGAGCATCAGACACTTGTCAATGGTCACAAACAAAAGCAGGGCCCTGTATGAACCTCTCGTGGGGCTGTGCCCCCTGCAGCACTCGGGAGAAAGCCCTTGGCAAGCAGGAGGGAGCAGGGGATGGCAGGGGCAGGGGGTGGCAGGAGCACGGGGAACCATCCCAGCCTGAGCAGTGGGTGCAGAAAAGGGGCACTCCAAATTCCCAGTCCTTTCCAGCTGAGCCATTGTGAACCACGCAGCAGAACGACTTCAAAGGCAAAGCCCTGGTGTCTGGAGAAGCTGTTTGTTCTGCCCTGGTGTCTGCTGAAGTTGTTTTGCTCCGGGCTGGGGTGCAGGAGCACTCCTCACATCCTGACTGTTTTGTTTCCCTTGCACAGGGGATGCTGTAAGCAGGTGAAGGATGGACTGACAGAGCCCCAGCAGTTTCTTCTCCATCCAGGGCCGAGGGGCTCAGCCTGCAGGGAAGGAGCCATTTTTGGACACAAACATCCCTCTGGCTGCGGCGAGGGAGAGGAGCTGCTGCGGATCGAACCCGCTCCTGGCGGGGAAAATCCCACTTCGTTTTGGTGTCTAATTAGATATTTACCAGGAAGGAAGGAAAGATATAAATAGGGTGACAGTGACTTCAAAGGGTGTTTTTTGACTTCTAAGAATAACACCTTTGCTGGCGCCGATTTCGGGAATATCGGCTGTGCTGGGTGTGAAAGACGGAGGAGGTGTCGCAGCTCGGTCGGCAGCCAAGGGAGCAAACCCAGACCCCGGCCCCCGTCCGGCCCCACGGGACCGGCTGAGGAAGGGACAGAGCCCGTGGGGAGCTCAGCTCACTCCTGTGGGTACAGCAGCTCCACAGGGATACAGGAGGGGATACAGGAGGGGATACAGGAGGGGCAGTCTGGGGAAGACCACCGGTGCTGCCGCGTGTGGCCCCATGGGGACCCCAGCCCTGTCCCCATGGGCAGTGCTGGTGCTCGCCCTGGTGCTGCTGGGACTCTGGGCTCCCTGTGTGGTGAGCAGGCAGCCCAACTTCATCGTCATCCTGGCCGATGACGTGGGCTGGGGGGATCTGGGCGCCAACTGGGCAGAGACGAAGGAGACCCCGCGTTTGGATCAGCTGGCTGCTGAAGGAACAAGGTAATGTCTGTCCCCCTTCCCTGCCCTCACCCTGCATCCTGGATACTCTGTCCTGCAGCACAGGGGAATTCAGCCCTGCAGGACTGGCAGGAGAGGGAATTGGGCTGGTGTGGGTTTGGGTGCATGGGGAGGGCAGCCAGAGCCTGGTGCCTTGGGCTGCAGGTCCATCCATCCCTGCTGGAACCTTCATCTGCCACTCCTCATCCTCATCCCCAGAGCAAAAGGGAGAGTGTCCAGGGGAGCAGGGAGGGACAGGGCAGTGTCAGAGCACGCGGGGTCTTGTGGGCTCAAGTCTCTTTTCATTTTGCAGGTTCGTGGATTTCCACTCGGCTGCCTCCACGTGCTCCCCGTCCCGCGCCTCGCTGCTGACGGGGCGCCTGGGGGTGCGCAGCGGGGTCACCCACAACTTCGCCATCTCCTCGCTCGGGGGCCTCCCCCTCAACGAGACCACCCTGGCCGAGGTGCTGCGGGAGGCTGGCTACAGCACGGGGGCCATAGGTAATGCCTGGGGCCAGGGGCAGCTGGGGAGGTGGCAGGGGTGACAAAGGTGCCCTTGCGGAGGAGGCACTGGGTGAAATGCTGGCAGTGAAAGGGAAATCGAAAGGATCACGTGAGAGAGATTTCACACATCCCTCTTGGATTTTGCAATGCCAAGCTTAAAATCTTCCTTTTCAATGGTGCTGCTGGAAATCCAGACTTCTCTATTTAATCTCCCGTTGCTTTACCTCCTGAGGAATGTGCTGGCTGTTCCTTAGCAAACACGGCCGGCTCTGCCATCCTGCATCCCGCACCACGGGCGGTGCTGCTGGCCTGGTGGCTTTGGGCACCCTCCTGTCACTGTGGGTTCCCCTCAGCCTGCACAAACCCTTTGCATCTGCAGCTCCTGCTGTTGTGCTGGCAGAAAATCCCTCTGTTTCTCCATTCCCCCCAGTTTTTGCAGTTCTCCCTCTTGGATCGGTGCGTTCGGTGGGAGCAGGCACATGCCGGAGGTCAGAGGATGAAGCTGGTTTCGGGAGGAGTTAGGAAACTGTCTGCTCAGAACACAAACACATGAAAGAGCCTTTTAAGGCTGGAACCAGTTGCTTTGCACAGGCATGAGATACCTTATGCATTTTTTTCTGGGTTTTCTGCAAAAATAGACAGCATTCTGGAATCACAGCCAGCACAAACAAGGAACCTTTCTTGTAGCTTGATTAAAGCCCCCAGCGCTGCGGGCACCTTGTGGGTGAAGGCTGCTGGTGGCCAGAGCTGTGTCACCTCTGAAATGATGTTCTGTGGCTTCCACGCAGGCAAGTGGCACCTGGGACACCACGGCCGCCATCACCCCATCTCCCGTGGTAAGGGCTGTGCCAGGGGGACGGGCTGAGGGCCCTGTGGCCACCCCGACCCTGCTGACCCCCTGGCTTGCCTCTCAGGCTTTGACTACTACTTTGGGATCCCCTACAGCCACGACATGGGCTGCACGGACACCCCAGGCTACAACGTGCCTCCCTGCCCGCCCTGCCCGCGGCACAGCGCAGCTGGCAGGTACAGGGCACGGGTTCCAGTGCTGGCACGGGGAGGTGGGTGTTGGCAGCCGTGTCCCCAGCCCTGAGGGCTGCCCTTGGCTGTGGTCACCTCCCCTCATGCTCTGTGCAGCCGGTTTCCCCCTGCGTGGCATGTCCCAGTGCCATGGGGACATCGGCGCCCTCCCTTTGTTCTCCCTCCCTCGGCTTTCTGGAGGCCAGGAGAACAGCCAGGCTCTGTGTCTGCCCTGGTGACAAGCCTGGGGTGGCTCTGCCCAGCAGGGTGGCGAGGAAGGACTGTTACACAGAGGTTGCCCTGCCTCTCTTCGAGAACGTCACCATCATCCAGCAGCCCGTGGAGCTGGGCAGCCTGGCCAGGCGCTACGCACAGGAGGCAGAGCGCTTCATCCAGAGGGCCAGGTGAGGGCCACCCACTGTCCCCTGTCTGTCCCCTTAGCTAGGAGAGCTCCTGGGTCACTGCAGAGCTCCTTTGCATCACTCTGATGCAGTGCCAGGGGACATGAGTGTTGCCCTGTGGTTCAGATTTGGGGTGTCCATGGCTTGGCTGCCTGCTGGAGGAGGCACTGAGGCTCTTCTGATGTCCTCTAAAAGGGTCGGGTGTTTTAAAAAACATAATTTCTGAGGAAAGTCCAAGCCTTTGAGTGGGGGAAATGTTCATGATGTCAAGGCTGGTGGGGATGGGAGGGAGGCAGAGCTGCCGTGGTCCATCCATCCCTGCATCCCTGTGCATGAGGTGGCAATGGAGTGGTGGAGGTGCCTCCATGGGTGTGAAGTGCTGGCAGGGGCTGTCAGGGCGGGACCAGAACAGCACCCAGAGGTGTTTGAACACACCCGGCGTGTGAGATTGGATCCATTTTGAGGATAAAGCACTCTGATATCAATTGGCTTCAGGATCTGCCTCCCCCAGCCTCCCAGCACAGGAGGTGCCCGGGTGTGTTTGTCCCCGAGGAGCAAAGTGGCTCCTCGGAATGAGGCCCCGAGCCCTGCTGACGGGTTGTGTAATTTTAATCCCCATTATTGGCGGATTACGAGCTGTGACTTTGCAAAATGCCTCCCTGCAGAGTGAGGAGGGGAAGCGCTGCCGGGCAGCCCTGTCTGAGCCCATCCCCTGCCTGCTCCCCGGGATAACACAGGCCCGGGGAAGGCGGGTCCCTGGGGTAAGGTTTGTGTAACAGAGGTGAACGAAGGGCTGGGCAGGGAGCAGCACATGGGGAAATGGCTCTTTATAAAACTGGGCGCTGTTTTGTTGCATAAAACCTGTAGTTTGTCCCTTTGGGTACCAAGGGTTGGCCGTGGGTTTGGAATTGGGCTTGGCCACGTTTGGGATGCTGAGGATACCCAGGCTCTGGGCTGTGGGACAGCAGCAACCCCTTCTCCTGCCAAACCCCCAGCCCTCCAGGCTGCCGGCATGCTCTGTGGCTGTGAAACCGAGTGTGTAAGCTCTGGGTTAATAGGAAAAACCTTTAAACTCCCAGAAGCGTTTTGGGGTTATCTGTGTTCATGGAGAACAGGATTAAGCAGGTGTCTGCCTTTTCTTCCCTTCCCTTTGATGGCTTATTCCAGTTTTCCCCTGCCTGACTCATTTATTACAAGGCAACAAAAGAACACCGGATTTGCCATCTCAGTGTTTTTTTAACCAGTCAAGGTTGAGCAATTTGTGACAGTGAGACGTGGCACTGCTCGAGCCCAAGCGAGCGTGAGAGCAAAAGTCAGGGACTGCTGTCTTCAGTTATTGATTAAACGTTGGCCTCATCTTCAGGACAATTCCGAGCTGTCCGTGCGGCAAATGAGAGGAATGTTCAGCTGAGCATCACAGCCACGAGCCAGGGAAGCAGCTTTCCCTGCTCCAGGGGCTCTGGCATCCCACGGGAAGAGGCCTCACAGCAGCAGTTTGAAGGGGCACAGGGGCTCTCCTGACCCCCACGTCCTGCAGGGATGGGCGGGGGCCAGGGGGACACAGGGGAGATGGGTGTTGCCCCATGGTTCGGATTTGGGGTGTCCACGGCTTGCTCTCCTGCTGGAGGAGGCACTGAGGCTCTTCTGGTGGCCTCTGAAAGGGTGGGATGTTTTTAAAACCATCGTTGCTGAGGAAAGTCCAAGCGGGGGTTTTTAGGAAACTCTTTGTGGGGCTCCAGCGCCGTGGGGGATGCAGCAGCTCCGGGCGGGATGGGGTTCACTGGTGTTCCACGCCAGGTGGGCGGCGGGCAGAGGAAGGAAATGCCGACACGCACTTGGAAGGGCCCGGGAGCTTCCAGCAGGCAGCGATGGGGCGGCGGGAGCGGGCGCGTGCGCCGGCCGGGACACGTCCCCGGGATCCGGCCCCTCCTCGCCGCTGGCCATCCACCCTTCCCCTCCGAGGTCCCTGAGGAAGAGCAGGCCTCGTTGGAGCAGATAAATATAGCTGCAAACAAGCAAACAGGACGTGTCGTGCGGCGCTCGAGGAGCGCGCGGCGGCGGGCAGCGCGCGGCGGTGAACGCGCCGCGGGGCGCGGGAGGCCTCCTGTGTCACATCCTCTGCCCACAGCACCGCTTGCTGGGGAGGGGGACAAAGGGGCAAAATGGACCCCTGAGAGAGCGGAGGGAGGTGTGGGTGCAGCAGCGTGGAGCGTTTGGCTGCTGGAGGTGGAGGAAGGGTAAATCCACCCCAAACAGGGGCACAGTTGACAGCAGGGACAGCGGGGAGAGGTTTAAGCAGGAGCAGGGCAGAAGTGGCTCGGCTCAGCCAAAGTTCCTCCCTGTAAGGAGAGGGGTGCCTGGAGCTGGGTGATGTACGTGGAGTGTTTGCAGCAGGAGTGGAAGGGCCACTGGTTTGTGTCCCCAGGCTCAGCGATGCCACCACCCCAATGACCTCCTGCCACTGCCTTCCCCTGGAGGCTGAACACTCTCCCTCTGTCCCCTGTGCAGTGACAGTGGACGTCCCTTCTTCCTCTACCTGGCCCTGGCCCACATGCACGTCCCGCTGGTCCCCCCGCTGCCCCCCGCTCCGGGCAGGGGCGTCTACGGAGCCTCCCTGGGCGAGATGGATGCGCTGGTGGGACGGATAAAGGAGGTGGCTGACAGCCTCGGCAAGGGCAGCACGCTCCTGTGGTTCACAGGTACTGCAGGAAAACGGGCTGGGGTGGCACTGGGGACTGCACCTGGACTGGGGACAGGACCTGTGTTTGTCCCCTGCCCTTGGTGTCCCTGCCCTCAATGTCCCTGCCCTTGGTGTCCCTGCCCTCGATGTCCCTGCCCTTGGTGTCCCTGCCCTCGATGTCCCTGCCCTCGGTGTCCCTGCCCTCGGTGTCCCTGCCCTCAGTGTCCCTGCCCTCGATGCTCCCATTGCTCTGTGGATGGGGAGTGGTCCCAGCGTGGGATGGGGGTCCCAGGCTGCTGTGGCCACTCAGCCGGGTGGTGCCCACCCTGCCACCCCCCTCCGGCTGCGGGGCTGAAGTGGTGGGGCCGTGACTAATTAAACCACAAATCCTCGTTCGTTAAGAAGCCCAAATCCGCTCTCTGTGGCCGAGCAGCCTCCCTAATGAGGATGTCGTGCTTCTGATGACAGGAACCGCTCGGCCGCTCATTAACACCCAAAGCTGGTGGCGCCGTGCCCCCCCTGCCCTGACCTGGCTGCGCTCCAGCCCCTGCAAACAAACTGCTAAAAACCAAAATCCATCAACCAGCTGCTCTTGCTCGTGTGGAGAGGCATCACAGGGGTGGCAAAGAGGGATGGAAGGGTCACTTGTCCTTGTGTCCCCCTCCCACCCCCACTGTGGCGGCGTCCCCTGTGGTCCTGGTGTCTCTCATGGGGACATTTCTTTCTCTTGCAGGTGACAATGGCCCCTGGGCACAGAAGTGTGAGCTGGCAGGACGCCTAGGGCCATTCGTGGGTGCCTGGCAGAGGCAGCGAGGTAACCTGGCAGCGTGGGGGGGTCCCAGTCCCCGGGGACACAGCAGGGGATGCTCCACAAAGCCCTCACTGCCCACCGAGGGGACACGGGCGGCATTCCATCCACCCCAGCCTTTCCCTGCCTGCTGCCCTGGGCTTGAGCACACCCCAGCGCTATTTTTTTACTTTCAAAAAATCAAATTCTCCCAACATTGCTGTGGGGGTGGGCTGGGGTCCCCATTACCCCGGAGCTTGGGGTGAGCGCGCTGCTGTGGAGATGGGATGTCGCTCTCTGCCCCATCAGGGTCTCAGATCCCCCAGCCCCATCCCACCCAGAGCAGAGCACCCACCACCATCCCCGCACCTCGGCACATTGCTTTTCTTTCTCTCCACCGTTTCGTTGGGTTTTTGTTTTGTTTTCTTTCCTCCTTTTCCGGCCAAGCCATCTGCTTGGTGGGTTTATTTCGGCCGGGGCAGGCAGAAACATCCATGAGTCAGGCGTTTCCCACTTCTTGTGTTGGGCTCCCCTGCCTGGGGTCAGCATGATGCTCATCCTTCCCTTCCTGACATGGCACCGTGGCCATTCCCTGGGCAAACAGCGCTGGCTGTGTCCCATTCCCAGAGCCCTTCCTTCTCCCGGCCCCGGGATGGAATCGTAACCTGAATTTTCTAGTAAACAAACCCCGCTGGCGGCCCCGGGTTGTTGCTCTTGAGCAACCCACGGTCACAAGCCGGAGCAGCTGGTACAGAAACTGCGGTTCGGGAACAGGGCGAGCAAAACACGGCCCCTTCCAGCCGGGATTGTTCCCGGGCAGGGAAAAGCCCCGAGCAGTGGGAGGGCAGGGGAGGACAGGCTGCTGCCGGCTCTATTTCTGTATGTTTTCATGTGTTTCCACATGTTTCTATATGTCCCTGTATGCCTCTATATTCCTATACATTCCTGTATGTTCCTACATATTTCTGTTTATTTATAACATGCTTCTATGTTTCTGCTTCTATACGTCTCTAACATGTTTCTATGTGTTTGTTCCATGTTTCTAACATGTTTCCATGTTTCTGTTTCTATATATTTCTAACATGCTTCTATATGTTTCTAACATGTTTCCATGTTTCTGCTTCTGTATGTTTCTAACATGTTTCTGTTTCTGTTTCCATGTTTTTAATGTGTTTCTATATAAATGTTACATATGTTATATATATATATAAATGTTATATATATATATAAATGTTATATATATATATAAATGTTATATATGTATATATGTTTCTATTTCTGTCACTTTCAACAAGTTTTTATATGTTTTCAGCATGTTTTTCTATGTTTCCAACATGTTTCTGTATGCTCCTGCATGTTTCTACGTTTCTATACATTTCCAACATGTTTCTGCAGGTTTCTACATGTTTCTGTACATTTCCAACATGTTTCTGCAGGTTTCTACATGTTCCTATGTTTCTGCATGTTTCTATATGTTCCTTGTAGCTCCATCTTTTCTTTTAGGGTCCAGCCCTAAATTCCAGCGATGTTTTCAACTGATTTCAGGCGGTCACTGGAGTTGGGAGAGAGCAGCATATCCGTGTGTGCTTCCCCTTTCTCTGTGCTTCCCACAGTCCCCAAAAACTCGTTTCCCACCTTGGGGTCAAAAGTCCAGCAAGGGGGGGATACTGGAAGAGAGGAAAACATTTTGGGGATGTGATGCTGGGCATGTTTTGAGGCAGGTTGGGGAAGTTCCAGAGCTGGTGTCCCTGTGCTGAGGACCTGCTGTGTGTGTGGTGGGACCAAGGTTTTCATCCCGCCACGGGAATGCACAGTTCAGCTTTCCTGGAAAGCCTGGAAAGTCCCCACAGCAGCAGGGCTGCATCATCCCCACTCTGGAGAAAATTCCCTGCTTGGGTTTGGGTGTTTCAGCCCTGTTTACTTCCCAAAGTGTTAATGTGACCTCATTCCCAGGCTGCTGTGACCTCAGCAGCCAGAGGTGCTGGGGTGGCTTGGTCAGGAAATATCCCTCTGATGTCCTTCCAGAGCCCCCTGACCACGCATGGAAAAACCCTGCAAATGCATCCAGGAGGCTGAGAGCTTTAATAGAAGTGCAGAGATGGGGATTGATATTAATTGCTGTAATTGCTGTGGTTTCCTGGGGTGTCTGGGGCAAACACCACAACTTTGGCTGGGGAATGGGAGAGACTGGGGATGTTCTCAGTCCGTGCCAGGGGCAGAAACCTTTCCCCTGGGCTAGTCCTTGTGGCACCTGTGCCATTCGTGTCCTTGTGGGCACGGCAGCATTGGCTGGGGGCATGGATCAGCCAGTGGCACCGGGCAGGAGGGCTGGCACAGCCCAGGGGCTCTCCTGGGCAGGAGGGCCGGGCACAGCCCAGGGGCTCTCTTGGCTGTGCCCAGAGGAAATGGCTCGGGGCGAGTGCCGTTGCCATGTGCACGCTGAAAGGCAGCACACAAAGGCTGCTCCTGGGAAGTTTGCTCGTGAATCGAGTTGGGATTTTCTCTTTGCCCCATTCCCAACCCCTTCCCCCTCCAGCTGCCTGGGGCCCTTTGGGCTGCAGCCAAGGCAGAGACTCTCCAACCCCCCCCCCCCCGCCCCTTCCAGCCCTCTTGATGCTTGGTGCTCCCATTTCGAGGCTCAGCACCCCAGTTTTGGTGCTCAGCACCCCAGTTTTGGTGCTCAGCACTCCAGGTGGAGGAAGGGACTGGGCAGATTCCCCGTGCATCTCAAATCCAAGGGCAGAGCAGAGTGCTCTGGGTGCTGCCAGGGAAAGGATGGATCAGGTTCATTAACTGGCAGGAGGGTTATTAGCAGGAAGGTATTTTTAATGAGGCAGGTTTCCAGCAGCTGAGGGGGGGTGGGGGGGCTGTTGGTGCTGAGCCCTGCAGGAGACAGAAGCCCCTGGAATAAATTCCTACATTTCCTGCCTTCTCCATTCTCTCACCTGGCATCAAAAGGGGATGGAAATGCAATGGCTCTGGCAGCTGCTGCATTTCTCATCACTCACTGGAGCAGGGAAACACAAATCAGTGCCCAGCTGAGACCCTTTCTTTTCCCTTTCCCTTTGAGCACCTCCTGTAGCCCTTCTCCCTTCCCTGGCCCAGTGAAACCATCCTCTTTTGGGGTAATTTACACCACCTCTGCCTCTGAACAGTTCCTGTCCCAGGGGCTGAGGAGGTTTTCCAGCATCAGCAGGATGCTGAGCACTGCCCTGTTCTCCTGCAGGTGGGAGCTCAGCGAAGCAAACAACCTGGGAAGGAGGGCACAGGGTGCCAGCCCTGGTGTACTGGCCTGGCCGTGTCCCTGCCAGGAGGACGAGCCACGCTCTCCTCAGGTAAGAGCCCCTCGGGGAGCGGGGTGGCCCCATTGGGAAGGAGCCCCCATCCCCACGCAGCCAGGTCATCACCTGGATTTTGGCAGCAGCAGCTGCCCGCTCTGGTTATCCCCTGCCTTGTGCCAGGCTGCACTTTTGTCCTCTCCCAAGACTTTAATGCTTCAGCTGAGAGGAGCTGAAAGGGCTTTTTGTGAGGCTGGAGGGTTGGCGCTCGCAGCCACCGGGCTTCGTGTGCTCCTGGCCGCGGTGGCCAAGGGCCTCCCGATAATTAAAAGATGACGATGTTCTCTCTCCCCAGCGAGGAGCAGGCTCAGGCTTTGCGGTCTGTGAGTGCCTTTATGTGGAGGAGGTGCGGTTGTGAGGAGAGGAGGCCTGGCAATAATCCCTGCAGGATGCGGCGGCAGCCGGGGCCAGGCTGTGTCCTCACTGGGGAGCAGCACGGGGGTCTGTGCTGCCCCTCTCCCTGCAGCATTGGCACCCCTTCATGTGCAGCCTGCACCTCTCCTTACAGCCCTCCTGGCAGCACGTGTGGGGCACGGCCTGGGGCAGAGTGGGGGGGATGTCCCCGTTCCTCCCTGATGGATCCCCACAGTGCTGGGGTCAGGCTGGAGGGGCTGGGGGATTCCTGGGCATTGGGATGTCCTGTACCCATTCATCCCTGATGGATCCCCCACAGTGCTGGGGTCAGGCTCTGGGGTTTGGGGTTCCTGGGCATTGGGATGTCCTGTTCCCATTCATCCCTGATGGATCCCCATCATGCTGGAGGGACTGGGGGGTTCCTGGGCATTGGGATGTCCTGTCCCCATTCACCCCTGCTGGATCCCCACAGTGCTGGGGTCAGCCTGGGGGAGCTGGGGGATTGTTGGATGTTGGGATATCCTGTCCCCTTTCATCCCTGATGGATCCCCACAGTGCTGGAGGTCAGGCTCTGGGGATTTGGGTTCCTGGGCATTGGGATGTCCTGTTCCCGTTCATCCCTGATGGATCCCCACTGTGCTGGGGTCAGGCTCTGGGGATTTGGGTTCCTGGGCATTGGGATGTCCTGTTCCCATTCATCCCTGATGGATCCCCATGGTCCTGGAGGTCAGGCTGGGGGTTTTGGGGCTCCTGGGCATTGGGATGTCCTGTCCCCATTCATCCCTGATGGATCCCCACAGTGCTGGGGGATTTGGGGTTCCTGGGCATTGGGATGTCCTGTCCCCATTCATCCCTGATGGATCCCCATGGTGCTGGGGTCAGCCTGGGGGCGCTGGGGGATTGTTGGATATTGGGATATCCTGTCCCCGTTCATCCCTGATGGATCCCCACAGTGCTGGAGGTCAGGCTAGGGGGTTTGGGGTTCCTGGCCATTGGGATGCCCTGTTTTCTTTCATCCCAGAGGCACACAGCGTGATGGGGCTGACGGGTTGCTGGGTGTTGGGAAAGTGTCCCAGCTGCTGGAAGCAGGTCCTGACTGGTGCACCCTGGGGCACTGCTGGGTGTTTCTAAGGTCCTGAGATAAACTGGAGACACTCACTTGTTCCACAGCCCGAGGGCAGCTCTGGCAGCTGCATTTTTGCAGGCAGGGAAGGTTTGAGCCATAAACTGAGTCACTGGTGTCTGGTGGAGGGGATGAGGAGCACGTAGCACCCCGTGGTTTCACCTCCAAGTCCGTGGGCCATGGGGCAGAGCTGCCAGCCCCTCGGGCAGCTGGGGCAGCATGTGCAGGATCAGTGCCCATCCCATCCCAGGAATTCTGATTATCTCCTGAGAGACCTTATCTCCTGCATTTCCCAGCTCCAGGCTGGCGGGTTGGACAGCTGGAAATCGGGAAATCCAGCAGAGGCAGGTGCAGCACTGCAGCTTGGAAAGTGGCTCTGTAGCTCCCCAGCAGTCACATTCGGCTGGTGTCCCCCCAGCAGAGCCTGGCACTGCCACGGGGCCATGCCCAGCTGTGCAGGGCGATGCTCTGGCACCAGGAAGGGGCACCCCCTCTTTGGGAGGCAGCACAGAACCAGCCTGGGGGCTGTGAGCGATGGTCACCCTCAGGAGAGTGTCACCAGCCGTGGCCTGAGGTGGGACAGGGAATGTGGAGGGACACAGAGGGACCTGGAGGTGCTCACAGGACAGGTGGCTTTTCTCTGTGCCTCTGTCCCCTCAGGACAGCCCCCAAAGACTAACACGTGCAACAGAGAGACTGAAACCCCCCCAGCTGATGGGGGAGACCGAGAAGCTGGGGAGGTGTCGGAATCTGTGATATTTAAATGATCCTGAGATTGTAGAAAGTCTCTGTCTGTCAGCCCCGTTGCCAAAGCAGAAGCCATAATTGGTCTGTGCTGGTTTCAAGGTTGTTTATTCTGTTTATCTCTAACATGTTCTGCTGCCCTGCCGCAGCTCTGTCCTGCAGGGCAGCGTGTGGGGCTCTGCCCTCAGTGGGATGGTACAAACATTAAATACCACAAACTACCTGTGCTGGATTTACAATAACGTGCCAATATCTGTCACCTATGTTGAACAGTGTGTCCCCAGCATGAACCAACAGAAAAATGCCAACACCACAGTGAAACATGGAGGGCATGAAGAAGGAGAAAAAGGACAAGACACACCCAATTTCCTCCACCTTGTCCCCTCTAGACCCCTCATCTAGAATCCTAAAATTTTACTTTTGCACCCATGCCACACTTAATTATTACTTATATCAAACACTCAGAGCTGGTAATTCATCCTGTAAGATTGAAAACTCTTTTCCATGGACAGAGATCACAGCCAGTGTGTCTGGGGGCTCTGTCCAGGGGGGTTCCTGACCCCTGCCAGGGTCCCAGGGCAGCCAGAGGGAAGCCCTGGGCTCCCCCAGCGTGTGAGCAGGAGGGACTGGGAGCGCTGTGCACTCTCAGAGGGACCTCGGCCAGGGCAGGGCAGGGCAGGGCCTGACCCATCTGCCCAGATCTCCTCTGCCCCGGGGTTATGGGAACACCTGGCTGGGCACAGAGGCTGCTGCAGTGCCCAGGACCTGGGTGTGCTGCCTGCCCAGGGAGCGCAGGGTGAGCCAGGGTGAGTGTGCCCGCGGGCCAGGGAGCTGCAGCCAGCACAGAAACGCTGATGCCTCGCCACGGACCAGCACCTGCACGCTGGGCCCTGCACAGAACTGCCTTGTCTGCTTTGCTTAATTATCTTTAATTGTCAGAGCCACCCACTGTACTCCTGCCCTTCCCTGCCCCAGCCTGCAGTAGGGATGGAAGAAGTAGGTCAGGAGGGTGGTGAAGGAAGGGATGGCACCATCCTGGCTGTGCTGGCAGCGTGGGGCTGGGCAGGCTGGCTGAGCTGGTGGGGCGTGGGCAGAGCTGCCTGCAGCCAGGCAGGGCAGGGTCTGTGCCACATGGTGCTCAGCACCACAGCAGGGCAGCGCTCCTCGCCCATCCTGCCCAGGGCTCAGGGTGCCCATTGTGCCACAGGCAGGAGCTGCTGTCCCTGGGCACTGCCAGGCCCTTTCCCTGCTGTTCAGGTGGCAGCAGGACGCTGGAGTGGCTTTATGTGTTAAATCCCTCTTGGCCAGGGCAGGGTTGGCAGTGTGGCTTTCTCTTTCCCTCAAGCACGGATGCCAGGATGTGCCCACTGGTGCCTTTGCTTTGATGCCAGCTTTGACCAAAATCCTATTTTTCATGCTTTTTTCCATGGGTCACTCCTGCCCATGGCTGGGGAAATCTTCAGCCACCTCTGCCCTTTGTTCTCCCACCCCAGTGCTGCTTTCCAGAGGTGCCATGCAGTGGGACAGGGCTGCCTGGGACCATCCAGGTGCATGGAGGTGGGAGCTGGCTCCTGGGGGTGCTGGGCACCCGTGGCACCAGGGTAGGCTGCCCAGGTGAGCTGCTCTTTTGGGGTCCTGCTCTGCCCCCAGCAAGGTGCCTGCAGGGGTTGCAGTGCAGAGCCAGGATTTTTTGGGCGCCTCCCGGCTCACAGCAGTGTTTGTTGTTATTTGTTCTCTCTGTCTCTTAGCAGCTAAATGAAAACTCCTTCAGTGGGAGAACAGGGGCTGGTAAGCCCAGGGCTCTTTCCTCTCTCAGCTCACGCAGCTGCCACCCCGCTCCGGGCAGGGACAGGACCGTGGTGGTGGCAGGACCGTGGTGGTGACACGGTCTCAGAGCCAGGACCAGGGCAGCACCCTGGTGACCCCAGTTCCTGGTGCTTTTGCCTCCTGTACCAATTTCCAAGCCCCCAGAGCTGCTGGCACAGGGGTTTTGTAGGCAGAGGGGTGTGGGTTGGGTCCTGGCAGCAGTGCCAGCTGTCAGCTCCTGTGCCACAGCCTGGTCCCCCAGGACAGAGCTGTGATGTGTCACTTGGCCACTGTCCCTTGGACACCCTGCTGCAGGTTGTTCCTTTTAGAGGTCTGGGGTCACCTTGTGACTGCATCTGCGAGGGAGGGATGCTGTTGGTGGCACTGGGGGGACAGAAACTTGTGCCCCACAGGATGTGGAGGGTGAGGATTCTAGACCCCTCTAGGACATGTGGCCAGAAGAGGGGGAGCCTGTGCCCAGGCTGTGACGGGCTGGGTGATCCCCATCCCACCCCATCTGCAGCTCCGTCACAGCTCAAGGCTGTGCCAGGTGGGGACAGTCAGGTCCCAGGGCGCAGGCAGCAGGTGACAAAGCAGGGACTGTCCCTCTCTGCATGCCCAGGGAGCCAGAGGGACTTTGGTCACCTGCCCCTTCCCCGTGTCCCTCTGCTTTGGGGAGGCTGAGGTGAGTCCTGGGTGCTCTGTTGTGGCTGAGGCCAGGCACAGGCTGGGGCTGGCACTGGGGAGGCTGATGGGGCTCTCCTGTTCCATCCTGGCAGCTCGTGCTGTGCCCTGAAACAGCCACTCCACATTTCCTGGGGAGCCAGGAATTGCTGGCACTGGCCTGAAAACCCCTGTGCTGGCATTTCTGCAGAGGGTGACTGACCTGTCCAGGGCCTTCAGTGCCCTGCTCTCCCTGCCCCAGGGAGAGGCACAGCCTGAATGAATCCCAGCTGCTGGCTGGGGGTGGCAGGGGTGTGAAGCCAGGCCCAGAGCTGGGTTCAGCCTTTGCAGCTGTTGGGAGCTCCCTTGGGAGGGATGTGGGGCACAGGTGAGGTTGGGGAGACCCTCCAGGGATCCTCACTCCTCGCTCTGATGACTGTCCCCTCCTTTCCCAGCATCCTGGACATCTTCCCCACGCTGGTGGCTCTGGCTGGGGCAGCCCTGCCCCCAAACAGGCGCTTTGATGGCTTGGATGTGTCCCCAGTTCTCTTTGGCTGGTCGGATGTGGGGCACAAGGTAAGGCAGAGCCACCCCCGGTGCCACCCCCCTTGTGAGAGCAGTGCCTGAGCTGAACAGGTAAGTGGGTGTCTTGCTTTGAAAAGCCAGGTGTCTGCTAAGGAAGGCAGGAGCCTTCCTTGAAATGGAAAATGCAAACCCCTTTCCTCCAAATTATTTTAATTTTGAAATTACGGGGCTCTCAGGCAAAAATATGGGAGCAGTAATAGCAGTTCTTTACTAGGAAAATTAAAAATATAAATGCAATAGTACAAATAAAAGAAAACAAACCAGTGCCAGAGTCAGAAATGCCCTGTCCCCCCGTGGGTCAGGGAGGTGGCAGCAGCCCCATCCCAGGGTGGCTCAGCCCTCCTGCAGTGCCAGCTGTGCTTCTGCTGGAGCAGGATCCTGGACAAGGGGGGAGTTTTCCTCTGGAGCTCCAGGGCTGGGGGAGATGGGCCTGGGCTCCTCTGGGAATGCAGTGGGAAGAAAGCTGCTCCTCTGGGAATGCAGTGGGGCAGAAAGCTGCTCCCCTGGGAATGCAGTGGGGAAGAAAGCTGCTCCTCTGGGAATGCAGGGGGAAGAAAGCTGCTCCTCTGGGAATGCAGTGGGAAGCTGCTCCTCTGGGAATGCAGTGGGCAAAGGCTGCTGTGCTGTTCCCAGGTCAGATTGTATCCAGGTAGGAATGTTTGGCTCCTCCCCTGGGCACAGCATCTCCCCATGGATGATGGAATTTTATCATGCAGTGAAAGTCAATGGCTCAAAAGGGCTTTGGGTTATTGAAGATTGTTTTGTGCTTTGTTCACCCAGCTGGGATCAGAGGTGGATGTGCCTGTTCCTGCAGCCTGGCACGTTCCTGTGTGCCTCAGAGCTGGGTCTGTGATCCCAGGGACAGCAGCCCAAGCTTGTGGCAGCCTGCAGTGCCCAGCACAGCACCTTTGGATCCCAAAATATGCATCAGTGTGGGGAGGGGCAGCTCCCAGGGCTTTTAACCTGGTTGTGCCCATTTATTTATTGCTCCAGATCAGGACACAGCAAACCCCTCCTTCCCCCAGCTGCAGGGTGACAATGTTCCATGGGGACAGCCCACCCCAGATCCCACAGCTCTGTCCAAGCTGGCAGCTCTTTTCACCCCAAAAACTACAATTTTCAGGACAAGCAGGATGACCACACATTTATCTCGGAGTTGCACGAGATTTATGCGGAACCAACAAAAAAAAAAAAAAAAAAAAAAAAAAAAATTGGCTTTAATAGCAGTCCCGTGGATAAATCCTGATTTTGCTTTTAAAGTACACCCTCCTGCAAGCATCGTGAGCCAGCTCCCAGCGGGATCTTGGATTTGCTTTCGGTGTCCATCAGGGGTTTGGTATTTGCTTTGTATTTATGGAACCCTCTGCTGAACTGGGAGATGGAGCAGGGAAGGGGATGGGATGTGGCCAGCACACTCTGCTCTGCTCTGCTCCTCGGGATTAACCCTGCTCTGCACGGGCAGGGCTGGGAGCAGGGCACTGGGAGCTGCTGGGAATGATGGTTTGCTGGGAATGAGGCTTTCCTGAGATCAATGGTTTGTTGGGAATTACGGTTTTCCTGGGAGCAATGGTTTGCTGGGAGTGAGGTTTTCCTGAGAATGAAGCTTCCCTGGGAGCAATGGTTTCCTGGGAATTATGGTTTGCTGGGAGCAATGGTTTTTTGGGAATGAGGTTTTCCTGGGAGCAATGGTTTGCTGGGAGCGATGATTTGCTGGGAGCAATGGTTTGCTGATAGTGGTGTTTTTTTGGGAATGAAGTTTTCCTGGGAGCAACGGTTTGCTGGGAATTATGGTTTTCCTGGGAATTAAGCTTCCCTGGGAGTAATGGTTTGCTAGGAATGATGGTTTTCCTGGGAGCAATGGTTTGCTGGGAATTATGGTTTGCTGGGAGCAATGTTTTTTTGGGAATGATGGTTTGCTGGGAGCAAGGGTTTGCTGGGAATTATGGTTTGCTGGGAGCAATGTTTTTTTGGGAATGAAGTTTTCCTGGGAGCAGTGGTTTGCTGGGTGTCAGGGTGCAGCCGTTCCTGTGTGGGATTCCCCCAAGGGCTGGGATCACCCTGCCGTGGGATGGGGCCCCACAGCCCCGTGGGGAGCAGCCGTGTCCCCTCTCCCTCCCCTCCTGGTGCCAGCGGCCGGCAGTGACCCCGTGCAGGGCTTCCCTTGACACAAATCCTCCTGACAGCAGCTCCTGTGCTCACTCCAATGCCCAATTTCCACACTTTCCTAATTGGGGTCGCTGGAGCTCCCCGTGGGGGCTGTCCCAGTGTCCCAGCCTGTGCTTGGCACTGGCACGGCCGAGGACAGGGCTGGGGTGACACCGAGGTCCTGCTGTTGGCAGGAAAAATAAACCACAGCCTCCAAGGAGCACCGAGGGCACCAGGGGCAGTAAATCCCTCTGTCCATCAGCTCACGTGAATAGCCCAGAGTGCCAAGTTCAAGCCATGAATTTTCAGGGGAGAAAAGGCTTTCCCCCCTGCCCCCACGTTCTCTATTTTTTATTTATTAAAATAATAGCCATGGATTAATGGAAGAGTTCCAGATCTGGGAATGTTTCTCGAATCAAAACAATTAAGAAAATTAACAATTAACAAAACTCCTTAATTATGCAGTAAATGATAACAGGTTTTCTAAGTGTGGGGTTTTAAGAGGTTTAGGAATGTGGTTGTTTGTAGGAGGGGAGGTTTGAGTGCCCTTGGCAGCATCCCAGCTGTGCTGTTAAAGGTGTAGGCAAAGCTTTAAGGCTGGAGACAGATTAATTGGTTCAGTTCCTGGTCCCTTGGCTTCACAGGGCCTTGAATATTTGCTGATTCCTGCTTTGGAGCCCTTTTATCCTGCCCAAGGAGTGTCAGCAGAAGGGCACTCTGCAGCAGAGCTTCCTCCTTGCACCACCTCTTCCACTTTACACCCTTTGTATTTTCCTCCAAAAACACAAAGATCCAACCAAACTACAAACGGTGTTTTTTTATCAAATAATTTACCTTACACTGGAGAGCAATAAAAGAAAGTGAGAGCATTTGGGAATCACCTTCTACCTTGAATGCTGGCATTTCTTGGATGAGGTTCCAACCAGTCCCATGAGATAGTGGCTACAGGCAGACCAGGCAGCATGGGATGGACACCTCTGGATGTCTGGGATCCCTGGAATGCTCTGCCAGGCAGTGTGGATGACATCTCGGGGTGCCTGGAATTCTCTGTGCCAGGCACTGTGGATGGACATCTCGGGGTGCCCACTGATGCTCCGTTCTGGACAAAGTGGGATGGACATTTTGGGGTGCCTGGAATTCTCTGTTCCAGGCAGTGTGGATGACATTTTGGGGTGGCTGGAATGCTCTGCCAGGCACTGTGGATGGACACCTCGGGGTGCCCAGGGTGCCTGGAATGCTCCCTGAGGGGCAGGGCTCTGTGCCGGGCACCTGCTCAGGCACTGCTGCACTCATCAGCTGTGAGTGCTGTTACTAAACTTGGCACTGCAGCTGCCTACAACTCCAGCAGATGTTTCTAATTTTTAGCACAGTGGAAATTTCTTGAATCACTTTTAAACTCAGATCCCAGGGAGGAAACCTCAAGTGACTCATCCCTCAGTGAAGGCACTGGCTCCGCGGCAGATGTTATCGGAGAGAGGAGCTGCTGGAGTGTCCAGCTCACTTGTCTCCTCACTCCCCAGTGCCAGAGCAGCCGTCCTGTGTGGATCAAGTGTCCTAAATACCAAAAGGGAGAGATTGGAGCCACCCTCCCCTCCGTGCCTCGCTGCTCACCCCGTTCCCTGGCTGTTGTCAGGGAAGGGAGCCCTCGCACAGCGGGGTGAGTCAGAGGACGGGAGGGATGTGGGAGCGATGTTCCAGCTCCTCACCTTCCCCTCTGAGCTCAGCCTCAGCTCGTGGCTGCCTGCTGGCTCCAGCCCGGGGCTCGGCTCCCTTGGATGTCCCCAGTGCTGGCTGAGCTCTGAGCACCCAGGGAGGTGCTGGGTGGCACAGAGCACCTGAGGCCACCCTGGTTCCCAAATATTACTCAGGCATTTAGTGACAGGACAAAGGGGAATGGTTTCAGAGTAAAAATAGGAGATTTAGATTGGATGTTAGGAAGAAATTCTTCATTTTAAGGGTGGCAAGGCCCTGGCACAGGTTATCCCAAGAAGCTGTGGCTGCCCCATCCCTGGAGGTGTCCCAAGGCCAGGCTGGGCAGGGCTTGGAGCAGCCCAGGACAGTGGAAGGTGCCCCTGCCCATGGCAGGGGGTTGGACTGGGTGGATTTTGAGGTCCCTTCCAACCCAAACCATTCTGTGATTTTATAACTGCCCTGCTCTGCTGAAAGCCCCAGAGCCTTTGTGATCCCTTTCTTGCCATAGAACTGGGAGGTAAATTCAGAGTGTCCTGCAGGGCCAGGAAAGTCCGAGGGAGTTGCTGGTGTTTCCTGGTGCCCCTTGCCATCATCCCACTGTGGTGGTTTCAGTTTGAAACCAGGCAGAAACACCAATTTTGTGTAGTGGTTTCAGTTCACCAATTTGAGATTAATTGGCAATGCACCAATTAATGTGGTGGGCTCAGTGTTGGCTAAATGCCCACGTACCCTTCAGAATGATTTACTCGTTTTCTTGCTGTGAGATGGAATTAGGAGCAAAGCAAAGCAGCTTCAGCAATCACAGCTCTGCTGGCTGCTCAGAGTCCAGGGCCTGAATGACGGCTGTGAATGTGTTCAGGGGTGGGATGTGGCTCATCTGGGGAGGGAGTGTGTCGGAATCTGTGGGTATTGATGATCCCGAGATTGTAGAAAGTCTCTGTCTGTCAGCCCCGTTGCCAAAGCAGAAGCCATAATTGGTCTGTGCTGGTGTCAAGGTTGTTTATTCTGTTTATCTCTAACATGTTCTGCTGCCCTGCCCCAGCTCTGTCCTGCAGGGCAGCGTGTGGGGCTCTGCCCTCAGTGGGATGGTACAAACATTAAATACCACAAACTACCTGTGCTGGATTTACAATAACGTGCCAATATCTGTCACCTACGTTGGACAGTGTGTCCCCAGCCTGAACCAACAGAAAAATGCCAACACCACAGTGAAACATGGAGGGCATGAAGAAGGAGAAAAAGGACAAGGCACACCCAATTTCCTCCATCTTGTCCCCTCTGAACCCCTTATCTAGAAACCTAAAATTTTACTTTTGCACCCGTGTCACACTTAATTATTACTCATATCAAACACTCAGAGCTTGTAATTCATGCTGTAAGATTGAAAACTCTTTTCCATGGACAGAGATCACAGACAGTGTCTCTGGGGGCTCTGTCCAGGGGGGTTCCTGACCCCTGCCAGGGTCCCAGCCCTGCCAGGGCAGCCAGAGGGAAGCCCTGGATTCCCACAGGAGTGGCTTTCACGGAGCAGGTTTTCCCTTCCATGGGCTGGCAGGAGTTACCCTGTCCTTCCTGCAGGTCCTGCTGCACCCCAACAGCGGCGCCGCGGGGAAGGCGGGTGAGATCCAGGCGCTGCGGCTGGCTCAGTACAAGGCGTTCTACACCACAGGTACCGCGTCCCTACCACAGGTGGTAAAGTCTAGGAAGAGGCTTCTGGAATTACTAGATCCCTGCAGATGCAGGAGAAAACCAGCTCAGGTTAATTCAACCAAGAGCAGACCCAAGGACGTGCTGAGCTGGGTCTGCAGGGTGGTGCTGCAGCCTGGGGTTGGTCTCAGGAACGCTCTTGGAATAAGAGCTGGGATGGGGTGGGAATGGGCCATTCTGGGTGGGTGAGGAATACAGAGGTGATCCTTGCACCTCTGTGACTCCCATTTTTCTCCCATTTCCTCCCTAGGAGGGGCCATGGCCTGTGATGGCAGCACTGGGCCGGCACAGCAGCACCAACCACCCCTCATTTTCAACCTGGACCGTGACATGCAGGAGCAGGAGCCTCTGGACGTGGCATCCAGGGAGTACCAGGCAGTGCTGCCTGCCATCAGCAGGGCTTATGCCCAAGCTCTGCAGGACATTGCAGCAGACAACGTCTCAGTTGCAGATTATTCCCAGGATCCAGCTGCAATTCCCTGCTGCAACGTGCAGCACGTGGGCTGCCGGTGCCACGGGGCTCTCGGAGCCACGCAGGATCCCCACGGGGAAAGGAGAACACCACGGCTTTGCCTTTAAGCAAATAATTGCTCAGGCTGCTCCTTTCCCAAGGGTGGTGTCTGAATTCCAGGCTGGAGGTGGCCATGGAGAGGGATGGAGGCTCTGGTTCCCTCTGCTCTGTGCTGGGAAGAGGGAGGTGAGTTGGGTGTGGGCCTGGAGGAGCTCACAGAGCTCCCTTTGGAGTTTGGGCATGTGGAAGGCTTTTTGTAGGGCTCTTTATCTGGGAAAGAGACAGCTCTTGGATTAAAACTACCTTCTGTGAAAGCTGGCTTTGGGACAGGATTCTTTTGGGAAGTTTGCTTGGTTTTCCTCTAAACAGAAACGTTACAGGAGCAGCTGTGGGAGCACAAGGCAGGGGAGGATGGGGCTCACAGCCTCTGGGCAATCAGCCCTCCTGCTGCAGAGACCCTGAAGTTTGGTGGCTGCAGAGAGAAAATTCCTGCCTGGCATGAGGGGAGTGCTGTGAGAACGGAGCACCTGCCCCACCAGCTGCCTGCTGAGTTCATCAGAGGGGTCATGGCAAGGCCCAGTGTCTGTGGAAGGAAGGAAGGAAGGAAGGAAGGGGATCCTGGGCTGCCCCTGAGGGCTGCCATCCACATGGGAAGGATGCTCAGCTTGTCCTGCCATGCTGGAGCTCAGGACTGCGCTGTGACATCCCAGGGTTTGGGAGAGGCTGTTCCCTGCAGGCAGCAGGGACAGGACTGGGGCTGCTCCCCATCAGCTCTCAGCAAAGAGAAAGTGTAACTGGGGTGTTTGGGAGGTCAGGGAGAGGTCCCTGCCCTGGGGTGTCCCAGCAGATCAGGGCTCCAGGCAGAGGAGCTCCTGATCCCAGTGCAGGCACAGATGGAGTGAAACAGCTCCTGCAGGGCCGTTCTGGGCAGGTGCAAAGGCCTGGGGAGCTGCAAAGGCAGAAAAGAAGGTGCAACTGAAACCTGAGAAACCACTGGGATTTCTCAGCAGTTGATTGAGGGTGTTCTGAAACCATTCTGGATTCTGATTTACACACACACATCTTTCTTTGGCCGCTAACAGGACTTGTGTGGACTCACCCAGGTGTGATGCCCTCACCCCAGCCCCCAAAACCCTCCCACTCCCTAAACTTAATCCAGACTGACACCTCTAGGGCCCCAAAAAGAACAGCAGGAGCTGCCAGGGACAGACTGTGACTTTATTCTGTCTTTCAACATAGCAAATGACATCTTCTCTAATATCACTGCAAAAATACTTTGCCTGGGTTAAAATAGTCTGTATATACTGTACAAAGACATAAGTTTAATATCTCTTCCTATAAGTACATTTATACACATAAAACAGCATAAATTAGAAAAGGGACAAATGGGTATATAAAATTCTGGTTACATACAAATCTGATTAAATTAGCATTTACACTGTGGTTCTAACATAAGAGTTTGTTAAATAGAGCCATGTGCATACAGTACATTGACACCCCACCCAGACACAAATTAAAACAGGGGCTAACAGGGCCAGGTGTTCACTTACACAGAGGAAAAAGTCTGGCCCACCTTAATTTATATATTTTTTCTCATCTCGGGGACTCACAGATCTGTTCTTCGAAACTCCTGGCTTTTCCAAAGCACCTCCCAGCAGCTGTCCCAAGCGTGGGTGTTTTGCTTCTGCTCATGACCTCTTCGCCTTGCCCGGCTGACCTCCACGGCACAAGATTATCTACCAAAATCAAAACAGAAGGGCCTTACTTTTCCCAGCACCAGGGAGTGTTTCCAGTTGGTTTTACGCACATGGGAGGAGCAGGGGGAGGGATGTCCCGCAGTGTTTTACTTTCCATTCAAAGGCAGATTGGTGAGAGGTTTATTTATTTGCTCTCCCCCTCCCCAGATTTACAGTCCTGGGAACAGGAACCATCTGGATCAGTGGTGAGTGGGTCTGGCCTCTGGCTGGCTCTGGGCTGAGCAGAGCCAGGCTTTGGGGAGTGCAGTTCCTGGGGGTGAAGTGCATTTGCCTCACTAAGTGCTCCCCAAAAGCTCAGCTCTGGCGTGGCTGGAGGGGAAGGTTCGTGCCGGGGTCTCTGGATGGATCCCAGAGTTCAACTCCAACGTGTTAGACAGGATTAGGGGAGGGAAAGCCCAGCCTAAGCACCAGCAAAGCCTCTGAGTGAAAGAGTAAAGCAGCAGCAGGACCCTGATTCACCTCCCGTCAGCCACTCCTCCACAGAGATCCTGGGTAAGATGTGCCCCTGCTCCCGTGGGCAGCCTGGCACAGATCTGCCCCAGCTCCAGCCTTGCCAGCTGTGACCTGGAAGGGATGTGAACCCCACAGCTCCTGCTGCAGAGGGTCTCTGCCAGCTCTTCCTCCCAGGTCTGCCTCTCCACGAGCTGCAGGACCATCACTGGCCAGGTTTCCAGGCACAAGCATTGACACTGGATGGCACAATTCCCAAGGGACCTCTGATAATGTACTGATAAGCTGGGCTTAATCCTGCAAGCCCCAGCTGCCCAAAATGCCAGGCTGAGCTGTAAGGGCAGGAGCCAGGTTCTGCCAAACTCCCTCATCCCCCATGACACATAATTACAAGCAGAGCCTCAGTGGAAAATCTGTGGCCTTTCCTCTGCTACCAGCCAGCTGTTAAAAAAAGAATCACTTAAAATAATTAAGTGTCCATATCCATGCAACAAAATGAGGGAAACACCATCCAGCAAACAGCCAGGAGGAATCTGGGCCAATAATGCTTCCACAGAGGCAGAGATGTATCTGCAGCCTGCCTTGTTGTATCCAGACCTGTGGTCTGGACAACAGAAGGGTGTGTGTACCCCAGGATATGGCACTGATTTCTGCCCTGTTGTAGATCTCCCTGGATTTTTTCCCTCCAACAGGCAGCAGCATCCTTGGCAGCACAGGAAACTGCCCAAACTGTTTTGGAGCAGCCAAAACTGATGGGAGAAAGATGGTTTTTAAGAGTGATGGAGTATCAGTGAGGGGAAGCTGCCTTTGAAGAGCTGATTGCAGTCACAATTGACTTAATGAAATGGCTCTCCTGATAAAACCTTCACCTCTAGGCCCTGCAGCCAAATGCAGGATGGATCACCCATGCCTGGAAAGCACTGACCAATTTGCTGAAAGAAATTATCCTTCCTACAGAATCCTGGAGTTTTGGGCAGAATCCCCAGCTGCACACAGGCTGTGCTGCTTGCAGAATCCTGTAGAGTTTATTTTGCCAAACCTCACAGCACCACCCCAAAACTGCAGTGCCCTGCCTGGCCCAAAACACACCCCAGCAGCTCCCTGCACCACTGGAAACCTCACTCCCTGCTACACCACAGACCAGGGGTGGCTGCTCAGGCAGGTGAGCAAAAAACAGCCCAAATGGCCACAGTTTTGTAGCCAGAGATGGCTTTGCTCTTCCCACCCTGTAAAATCCTGCAGGGTGAGGGCTGTGCAGCCTCCTCCCTGCACATCCAGCACAGCACCCTTGGCTTCACCCCCTGTCCCCCTCAGTAACACCTGAGTCCTTCCTGCCCAAGCCCAGCAGTGACTTGGGAGTGCTTAATCCATCCCATCCATGCAGGAATTGTCACTGAACTGGTTTAACCTCCTTCTGCAACCCTGGCACCACCAGCAGCAACATCCATGTTCCCTCTTGTGAGGCCACTTTTTATGAGTCCTCCTTGGGCTCCTCATCTCCTCTCTGATCTGTCCCTCCTTCCACTTAATGAACAGGCAGTGTTTGACAGATTTTATGTCAGGCTGAAGCTGGTTTTCCTCAGTCTTTAACAGCTGAGCCTCTGAAGTCTTGCTTGAGGTCAAGGGAAGACAAGAGGTTTCAAAATGGGGAGAAACTGTGGGGTTTGAGCACTGCTGTTTCTCCAGAACCATGTCTGAGTTCAAAGCCATACCATGGGCTGCGGGTGAATATTCCATTTTGTCACAAGTTTTGAGGTTTTGAAAAGTCTTTTTGTTGCACACTGGAAAACAAACAAAACCCTTCCCATGTTTCCGCAAAGTCGAACGCTGTCAAAACATTTTTGTTGGATAAGGTCAGGTTTTCTCCCCCTCCTTCTCTGCACAGGAGTGACCGATGCCTGAAACCCCCTTCACTGGGACTGGAGATCTCAAGTGCTGAGAAAACAGCCAAGTCCAGTGAAATCCAGAGCATCCAAACATCCTGAGTGCTCCCACTGCGAGGGCAAGCCCCAAACCCAAGAGCAGGGGGCTTTATCTGGAAGCTCCATTTGCTCAGGCACCGTTATCAGGGAGTATTTTTGGAAAGCACCTTCCCTTCCCACACCACCTCCTCCCTAACAATACACTTGTCACTGCTCTGTCAGGTTAATGACAGGATTTGGAGGGATCAAAGTTCATTTCATACAGCACCTGCTGTGCTACAGCAGGGGTTTGGGGCTGCTTTCATCCAGCACAGTCCCAGCAGGAAGCCTCATGCAGGAGCAGCGTGATTCCTGCGTGCTGGCATTTGCTTGTCCCCAAACCATGAGTTCAAGAGCAGGTTTAGCAGAAGGAAACAAAGGATTTCTCTCTGTCCCTGCTGCTCCTTCCAGGGGTCTGGGCCATCACCTTCTCTGTGGGCACAGCGAGGGAGACATTTTAAATATCCTTCTTGAGTAATGGAGCTGGTCAAGTGGGAAATTCCTGCTCCCAGCTTGCAGCAGGGAATGTTGCAGGTAAGGAGAGAAAAAATCTGAGGGTTGTGTGAGCTGAGCTGGGTTTAGGTGGTGCTGGCTCAAAGGGAGTCATGAGCCAGCCTCCTTTTATCTAACACTTTGCCTCAGCTCAGAGGAAGGTGCCTCACAGAGGTCAGCTCAGCACATGGAATGAATCCTGGGATAAGGTTTGTACTTCCTCCTTTTCAGGCAAAACTCCAACAGCAGGATATGTAAAAATGAAGTAAGGAATTCCAAAAGCCTGCCAAGGCTGCAACCTGAAATCCATTACAGTATTCTGCTGCATTACTGCTATGAAGACATCACTGATTACAACCAGATCATAGCACACACCAACATTTGTCCAGTTAGGGGTTAGATACTTAATTAATGAGTATGGAATAGGAAAAGGAGCCAGAAAGACACTGCCAGCTGAAGTTAGATTGAAAAATCCACTAGCTCCTTCCAATGGTAACTGAGAAAGTGCCACATAAAAATCATAAAATGGTTTAAAACTCTGCTATTCCTTTCATCTTTGCACTTGGAAAAGGAGTTTCCTTCTCAGTTACCTTGGAAATGAAGAGACTGGTGAGGTTCAGGTATGTTCCAGCTGCATTCCATGAACTAATACAT